CCTCCCACACCTGCCCATCCATTCACCCTCCTCCTTCCTCCTCCCTCCCACACCTGCCTGTCCACTCACCCTCCTCCTCCATCCTCCCTCCCATGTCATCCCATCCACTCACCCACCTTTATCACCCACCCTGCCTCCACCCAGCCGCCCACCTGTGTGGGAGCCTCCAGCCTCTGGCCCTCTGGGTCCTGGGGAGAAGCAAAGGGTCTCCTTTCATCTCACCCACACCTGATGGGAGAGGTGTGGGTGCCTCCAGCCTCTCAGGTGTCCGGCCACCTGCTCTTCCCGCCTCCACTGCACACAGCCGGCTCCTCCAGCTCCTCCTGGGGGCCCGCAGGGTTTGAGGGACAGTCGCCTGTGGGTCTGCTGGGACCTGGGCTCTTGGCACAGGGTGGGGGCTGGGCTCCTCTCCTGACACCATCAGCATGTTGCTGAGGTCGAGCTCATTCAGAACAGACCTGTCGCCTGCGGGTCCGAAACCTTCCCGGAAGCAGAGCCTGTCCAGGCCGCTGGGCGACGCGAGGCCGCCGCTCTGCCCGTCAGGGGGGGCTGGCAGGCTTCTTTGTCGGGTGCCGAGTGGGAGCCGTTACCCCCACTCCTGGCAAATACCCCACGTAGTGCCTGGCCCTGCCTCAGCAGGGTGTGGCTTCTGTGCCAGGGCAGCGGGTGCATGCTTCCCCTAGTGGCGGGAGTCCTGGGATGCAGGTGTTTGCATAATTCCCTTTGTTTTAATCGAGAAGATTTCCATCTCAGCTCTGCTGCTGGGAGTCCTGGGCACAGTCGCCAGAGACACCACGGTGGCTCCTCCCGCATCCACAGGACTGCACCTTCCCGGCGACTTCCCAGCAGCAGCTCTGCCCTCCCACCATGGAGGGCACGTGGGAAAGTCCTTTGTGGCCGAGGGAGGACAGCCGTCCACCTGCTCATTCATTACCTGCGCTCTTGTTCCCCTGAGGAGGGGGCGCCATTGCTGCCCAGGGACTGAGCGGGACGGAGTCCTCTTAGCATTCACCTGCTACCCCTCCCTCCGCACTGGAGTCACGGCTCCACGCCCTGCACCGGGAGTCCTGCACCGGGAGTCCCGCACCGGAGTCACGGCTCCACACCCCGCACCGGGAGTCCTGCACCGGGAGTCACGGCTCCGTGCCCCGCCCCGGGAGTCCTGCACCGGGTGTCATGGCTCTGTGCCCCATACCGGGAGTCCTGCACCGGGAGTCACGGCTCCATACCCCGCACCGGGAGTCCTGTTCCGTTTCCCAGGGCCGTGGGCGTGCTCATTGATGTTGGGAGCTGTCGTGAGCCTCGTGGGCACATGGCGAGCTGTTTCCCAGGCTCCTCGCTTCTTCGAGAGGCAGAGCCGGGCCCTGGCCGGCCGCGCTCTTCTGCTGTCCCTCGCCCTGGCAGTCCCCACTGCAATCGCCCGTCCGCGTCTCCTAACCTCTCTCTTATGTGTGTTTACTTGCCACTTCTAGAACTTCCTTTGGGAGAAAACACCTAGGAACTTTTCTCAGGGTGGCCCCTCAGGGCCGGCCACTGGGGCAGGGAGCCTGGCGAGAGGGCGGGTCTGCGACTCGGAGGTGAAGCCGGACGGCGCAGGGAGGCCTTAGTGCGCTGGGCCGCAGGCAGCAGGCGGGGAGAGGCCCGTCCCTCCCTCCAGTCAGTGAGCAGCACGCACCTGCTTCGTGGGCAGCCCCTTCTCAGGTCACCGTGGTCACGGGGCCGTTGCTCCTGGAGCGGCCCCCAGGGTTCCATAGACGCGGAGCTTCGTGGGGCCCGCAGCCTCTCAGCTGGTGGCTGACCGCTCGCCGGTAGGGGCGGGGCCGGGCGCGGTGCGGGACTCAGGCTGTGAGTGCCACTGCAGCCGCCGAGGATGAGCCGCCGGTCCCAGTGGGAGGTCGTGCGCCAGGGAAATGCGGCTGGTAAACCGGGCTGTCCCCAGAGGCCCAGCCGTCCTCCCCGGGCCCCAAACCTGGAGCTCAGAGGCCCCTGCCCAGGGCCCAAGGCCATGCCCGCTTGGCACTTAGCGGCTGGGTCCGGAGCACTTGCGGGTGAGGTGGAAGTCGTCCTGCGAGTGGCGAGCTCACCTCTCCCTCAGTCCTTTGCGCCTCCAGCCTGTCTGGTGGGCCTGCCCCGTGGAGAGGGACCCGTGCCCCATGTGTGGGCTTCCCCCGGGTCCCTGGTGGTGGTTGGAGTGGGTGGTTCAGAGATGGGTGCAGGTGAGGCTCCTGACAGCGGCCTGTCTGTCCCGCAGAGCAAGTGCACCGGCACCTGGAGCAGCATGAGGTGCGGTACCTGCAGTTCGCCTTCCGCTGGATGAACAACCTGCTGATGCGGGAGGTGCCCCTGTGCTGCACCATCCGCCTGTGGGACACCTACCAGGTGAGCTCTGCGCATGCTCGGCTCCGTGCGCGGCGCTTCAGGCCCATTGCCGATTGTGTCTGTAGCTGAGCTTCCTTCCCCGGGGATGGCGGAACGCTGGTGACTGCGGCTGGGTCTGAGCACGTCTGCCCCGGCGCTCACACTCACGCCGTCTGCGCTCCGAGCTGCTTATAATTAAGACTTTAAAAGCCTCGCTGACGGCCAGTGCAGCGTGCAGTCCCTCTCCACCCTCCTGATGGAGTCCGTTGCTCAGGAGACGCGTTTTCTGGAACAAACCACCTCTGTTCCCGAGGGTCCCGTTGCTTATCTACCTTCCCATCTCGGTGGCGGTGATTGCCGAAGCCGAG